GACAATGAATCTCAGTTTGCTTACAAGCTAGGAGATCACTTTGAATTCTGCATTTCTTAACTGCAAACAGATATAGCACTTGTAACAGGTTATAAATAAACTGGTTTTCAAGCACAGAGCCAGCCCCAACAGTAATAGTACACTATTTAAAAAGACCTAAGGCAATGACTTCCATTTCCAATGGAAAAAAAGAATCATATGGTCTTGGACAAACAATTCTGATGGTTTACTTAACAGTCGCTTAGTAGTTCTTCCTTGTTCGTAGAACTTTATGATTTTTTTGAGGAGTGAAGCATTCCACTTTAGTGGGTAAATCCTTGTTAGGCTAAGACAATCATTATCACATCCCTCTTTGCCATGAATTGTCTTATGAACGGTCACATCAATCTGTTTTGGCAAATGAGTAATTAGGGGAAGCCTGTTATTGTGCTTATGAGAATGATATTTTTCTCTGAAAAAAGATAAATATGCATTAGGAAAATGACCATTTGGGCTCTTTTTCTGCTTCCTCCTTGTTTCGTGAGAATATGATACTTGGTTGCTGTGAGGCAGGAGCTGAATAACGCAGGTGAAGCACTCACGCATGGCCTGGCTTCCAATAACTGGACAGCAAAAGGCAACGGTTTCTTCTTTCCTCTTCTGAGTGATCTCAGCCAAGCGGAAAGCAGAGCTTATTAGAGGCAGCAGAATGTCAAAACCCTCTGTTCTGTAAACAAACCTGTTTTGTCAAATAGTGTCTACATGATGTCAGTGAAAAAAAGGCCCCCAAAGCTAGAATATGCAGGCTGTAAATAGGTCAAATGGAATCAAGGTTAGAGAAAGACAGTACCAGAGTGCCTTCTTTGTCACATAAAGGTCCAGTGATTACTAAATAGCCCGACCCCTGTGCTTTGTGACAGCTATGGGGGTGAGGTAGCTTCTCCATCTCTCCTAGGGATGCTAGGCACCTGTTTCCCAGCCCACAGGTCTCCTGTCTCTAAAAACAAGGTTCTTTTCTTGGTGGAATGACTTCTACAAAATTTAACTACAGTAATTTCTTAGGGTCCTCAAATTAAGTTCCCAGATGGCCTCCAGGAATTAACATAGCTTCCTAAATATCAGAAACCATGGGAGCTGCAGAGACTCCTACTGTACAGGAAGCCTCTAAGACAACTAAGAAAAATGCACTTTAAGCTCTTTGTTTGTTTGTTTTTGGCCACGCCTCCCAGCTTACAGGATCTTAGTTCCCTGACCAGGGATCGAACCCAGGCCCCAGCAGTGAAAGCGCCGAGTTCTAACCACTGGACCACCAGGGAATTCCCTAAGCTCTTTTAAAAGTAACTTTCCAAAATGGTTACAATTTTAATAACTTGCATGGGGCTTAGTATCTAAGATCTAGAGTGGCTTTTCTAGGTATTGTACTCAGTAATTGGTACCAGGAGAGTTACTAAATGTTCTCAAGACAAGTTATACTAAAAATTGGTTCACTCAGGGAATCTTTCTTTTTGAAAATAGCCTGACTTAGTCTCAATCAGATTTTGTTAGAAAATGTAAGTGTCCCACTGAGATTTCAAAGACATACCTCACTTTCAATTTTTCACTTGACATTGCAATTCTCACCTTGGAGCTTCTGTCTCCAGAACCCGCCAGGGACTCTGCCCTTCTCGACACCTGCGTGGTGAGAGGGAGCTCTGGGTTATGCCCCTCCATAAATTCTTCCCTGGGCTCCGCATCAGGAGGGTTCCTCAAGCACATTCAGGGAAGACTGATCAATTCTTGGCTCCCAGCCCATGCCCACTGGAAGAGCAAGGGTACTGCACAGTAATTCAGACTTGCCCGCTACAATTCCAATGTGTTTTGAAAGCAGTGCACCCCTGACGCCTACTCAGTGTTTACACAGGCACTAAATTAGGCTCTGTACTGTAGCTGTGGAAAACACATGGCTCTGCAGTCAAACAATTTGTCATTTTTCAACAAGCGACTTTCCTTCTCTGAGTCTCAGTTTCCTAATTTTCAAAATGGGGGTAATAGGAGACATCTTACAGGGTTGCTGTGAGATTTCAGTAAGACAAGGTTTAGTAAGGAATTTAGTGCCATAGCTGATACATAGCAGATGCTCAGTCAGTGGTCGTTGCTGTATTTTCCATTGTTTCTTCTTTTTATCCACAAGGATCATCCTTATCAGTGTCATGGAAACAAGAGACTGCTGAGGGCTTCCCTGGTGGCGCAGTGGTTAAGAATCCGCCTGCCAATGCAGGGGACACTGGTTCGAGCCCTGGTCTGGGAAGACCCCACATGCCACACAGCAACTAAGCCCATGCGCCACAACTACTGAGTCTGAGTTCTAGAGCCCGCGAGCCACAACTACTGAGCCTATGCGCCTAGAGCCTGCGCTCCGCAACAAGTGAAACCACTGCAATGAGAAGCCAGCGCATCGCAACGAAGAGTAGCCCCCACTCACTGCAACTAGAGAAAGCCTGCGCGCAGCAACGAAGACCCAATGCAGCCAAAAATAAATAAATAAATAAATTTATTTAAAAAGTAAAAAATAAAAGAGACTGCTGAGAGGCTCCGTAGGTGGGATTGTGGAAATATGAGGGAGGTCTCATTTTTAGTTTACTATCAGCTTTTTCTGCCCTTTAGAGCAGATTAGCCATTCACTTTGAACTTTAATTCTCAGGGGTATATCATCTTGGAGACATTCAAGCTAGAAAGAACTGTGCCTTGAAGTGATCAAGGTGAAGGATTTGGGTAAGAGTAAAGATACTGTTTCTTCAAATTGGCCTTGGGGCAGGCAGAGCAGAATGAGAACAGAGGACAGAAGAGGTCCCCCTCCCCTCCGTGGTTCGTGCTGACTCCAGGCTCTAAGGCGAAAAGCAAGTGGGGCTCTGGGATCAGGTCAATCTGACCTGACAGAACCCCCTGTGATCACCCCTACAACAGGAGGGCTGATTAGCACTGTGGGGAAGCGGAGGGAGGAGTCCTCTGGTGGGCAGGTCAAGCTGGGATCAGGACAGTAACAAGATCTCTAACTCTGCCCTTATTGGAAGCATCCACATTACTTTAAAAACCCTAAGGGAGCTAACGGTTGGGATTGGGGTGGGAGCTGAGGGTGAAGTATCAATATAAACAAGGAAAATACTAAAAACACGGATAATTTATTCCAATCTGGTTGAAGCCTGAGAAACTAGATTCCTTTTTCCAAACCAAAACTAAGTCGCCTGATTTCTTTTTATGCTATGCACTGTATCACTGATACCAAAAGACACACCTTCACTGTGGCCATGAAGTGAATGTCTTCAGAAGATGCTTTCCTTCTGCTTTCCTTCCTTGTGCTCAGCTGCGAATCTGGTGAATGACTCCAATAACTCAGACACACAATCCTAGGTACAAATTCCTTTCACTTCTAGAAGGGACAAAAACGATGCCTGACGTAGAGGACAGACCACGTCCTTCCAGTCCTCATTAGAGAAGCCACGAAGACACACACCTGCAGAGTCAACCAACCAGGCACCAAGGCCTTTACATCTGAACAAAAATAATGACGGAAGGCGTGGGCTGAAGACTGACTCTGTGGATTTGAAAATGGCTCTGACCCTTCCTCGCCGTATGACATTGAGAAAGTGACTTGACCTGTCTGTGCCTGTGTTAATGGTTCCTACCTTTCACAGCCTGCTGCGAACATGAATGAGTCCACTTGTGTACGCATGGCTGCCGCATGCTAGCACTCCCCAGTGCCAGCTGCTGTTCTTATCTATTCAAGTCTGCAAAACCCAGGTCTCTCTCATGTAACCATCTGCCTGTGCCTTGTGATATTCTGAATTCCCTCTCTGTCACTAGCTGTGTGCCCTGGAGAAAGTTACTGAATCTCCCTGAGCCTCGGTTTCCCTCCCTATAAATTGGGGGCAGTTATAATTACTTTCAAAAGTCATTGTGAGGATTAAATATTAAGGTTTTTGAAGTGCTTCCCATGTAGAGAAAAGGAAACCCTCCTACACTGTTGGGAATGTAAATTGATGCAGCCACTATGGAAACAGTATGGAGGTTCCTTAAAAAACCAAAAATACAATCACCATATGATCCAGCAATTCCACTCCTGGGCATATAACCGGAAAAGATGAAAAGCCTAATTTGAAAAGATACATGCATCCCAATGTTCACTGCAGCACTATTTACAATAGCCAAGACATGGAAACAACCCGAGTGCCCATCAACAGACAATTGGTTTAAGAAGATGTGGTATATACACAATGGAATATTACTCAGCCATAAAAAGAATGAAATTTTGCCATTTGCAGCAACATGGATGGACCTAGAGAATATCATACTGAGTGAAGTAAGTCAGACAGAGAAAGACAAATATTATATGATATCACTTATATGTGGAATCTAAAAAATAATACAAATGAAGCTATACACAAAACAGAAACAGACTCACATAGAAAACAAACTTATGGTTACCAAAGGGGAAAGAGGTGGGGGGAGGGATAAATTAGGAGTATGGGATTAACATATACACACTACTGTATATAAAATAAACAATAAGGAATTACCATATAGCTCAGGGAACTGTATTCAATATCTTGTAATAAACTATAATGGAAAATAATCTGAAAAAATATACATATATAACTGAATCACTTTGCTGTATACCTGAAACTAACCCAATATTGTAAATCAACTATACTTCAACTTAAAAAAAGTACTTCACGCATGTAAATACGTACATAGTAGTTTTCATGTTATCATTTGTCAAAATGGGCTAACCACCACCCCTGTCCTGCTTATCCCATTGACTGCTATGAGAAGAACGTGCTGGAAAAGGCAGTGTAAAGTACTGTATAAATGTTCTGACTTCCAGCCCCTAGGCAATCGATTAGTATGGACCGCAGTAGTCCTGCAGAATCAGGAAGCTAAGCACTAGGAGAGTGTAGTCCATTATGCAGTTGTAAACAAATCACTACTTTTATCATTAGGAAATCCCAGACCAGTCAATGTAAACAAATCCACCTAAGGCCTGCTTGACAGTAGCACTTTTTAATTTACTGAAAACGGCTTTCCAGGTACTTAATTTTAAAGCCACCAATATAAGTTGGTGATTAATAATTTAAGGATGCTACATTAAAGTGGATAGATTTTTTTGGAGCAGTCTTTATGGCTTGGGTTTTCTTCCATTTTAATTCAGTAGATGTTGACATTTGTTGGCCCTGAGCATTGCGGTACAGAATGCTTTTCTGCATTTTGACCTAGTTCCAAGCACTCCTGGGCTTGGGTATAAACATAAGGGGACTCCCCATCCCTGAGGCAAGGAATCTGACCTCTAAAGACATATTTTTCTTTCACAAATGGCAAATATAAGAGAGTCCTTTCTTAATTATTTTATATAGGCTTCCCAGAATTTAAGTTTTATCCTACTGAATCTGAGAAACACTGCTTTTTTTCCTACAAAGCTATTGCAGTTCACAAAATAATAATCTTTAGACTAGATTACTAGACATACTGGATTACTAGACACACCTCTCCACAACGGAAACCATCTAAGAACATGTCCCTTTACTGTTTTTTAACTGCAACAAATACTAAAATAGTTAAATGTCTGATGTAAACGTGAGTAAAGCCAGATACAGAAGTATGTTTAGACTTCCAAGAAATCTTTTTCCCTCCTAGTCAGTTTTGACCCCTCTCACTGTTATCTCTCCTCCATCAGACTTGGAACCTCATCGTAGCCTGGAATGTGCTTTTGCATATTTTGGTTTTCCATCAAAATGCTCACAGCTCACTAGTCCGCTGCACATAACCAGGGATCAATAAATGGTTTTTGAGTGGATTTATTTAGTCTTTAGAACAATGTCTTTTGTAGTGCCATTTCAGATGAAGACTTCTAATCAAGAGTTGCTTGGCTCTCCTGAGTAATAAGACTGGAAGGTATTTTCTTTCTTTCTGGCAGAATAAAATCTGCATGTCCCGGTGAGAGCTTCGGAAACGTATAATTGATGTATTTTTGAAATGCTACCCTGGTTTCCTGTAACTCCTCCTCCAGGAAATCTTTCCAATTTGTCATGATTTCCAGTTGCTTCGCCATAGACAGCAGCTCCCCCTGAGTGTTAAGCAGTTTGTCCATCACATTTCCAAGCGTGGCCTGATGTGTTTTCTCCGCTTCTTGAAGCACTTTCTGAACCTCTTCTTGCTTCTGTTTCTGAGCCATGCAATAGTAGACGTTCATTTCATGTTCTTTTTCCTTTATCAGTTGGCTCACACTGTTCTTTTGATCCTTCATAACTGTGACACCAGCTCTCAAAAGTTCCTCCATGGCCTTTCTACAGAAAGGAACAAGGGTTGAATATTAATAGTTAGATGGATTAGCCACCAAAAAAAAAAGATTTTGTCTTTCACCGCAGATGTAGGAGAAATGCTTTCATGGTTTACATGAGTCACCAGTCTGAGACAGGCTGGTAGAGATGAGCTTTGATTAGATGTTAACAATAAAAAAATATTTTTCAGAGCAGGGAAGGTGCACATTGATTTCCCCACTGTGGGCTAGGGCGAGGCCACTAGTCTAGCGTCTAACGCTAACTTTAGGGACTCGAGTCCACTGTAGTCAGAAAAATATGAATGCAGAGTTCTAAAAAAAAAATGAAGAAATAGGCTCAGATTTCCAAACCCCTAGAGAAAGTATTTCTATATATCAACCCAGCTACTCACCTATAGCCAGAGGGGAGGAAACTGTCTCACAGGGTGAGTTTAGCCCTATTCTTGATTCTATCTGAGCAATACTCTAAGACAGAAGTCTCAAACTTTTTGGTCTCAAGATCACTTTTCACTCTTAAAATGACCAAGAAACTCAAAGAACTTTTGTTCATATGGGTTATATCTAGTGACCCTAACAGTTTTAAAAGTTAAATGTCAGGCATTTAACAAACATTTATAAATTCATGTGAAGTATCGATAAATCCATTAAACATTAACATAAAATACTTACCTCGTAGGAAAAATATTTTTTCTAAATCAAAAAACTTTTGGTGAGGGCTTCCCTGGTGGCACAGTGGTTGAGAATCTGCCTGCTAATGCAGGAGAGATGGGTTCGAGCCCTGGTCTGGGAAGATCCCACATGCCGCGGAGCAACTAAGCCCGTGAGCCACAACTACTGAGCCTGTGCGTCTGGAGCCTGTGCTCCGCAACAAGAGAGGCCACGACAGTGAGAGGCCCGTGCACCGCGATGAAGAGTGGCCCCCGCTTGCCACAACTAGAGAAAGCCCTTGCACAAAAACGAAGACCCAACCCAGCCAAAAATAAAAATTTAAAAAATAAAAAACTTTTGGTGAGAAAAGCGGCATCATTTTACATTTGTGGCAAAACTCTTTACTGTCTGGCTTAATAGAAAAAAAAGCTAGATTTTCGTTTCATTTCAATCTGTTGAGATATCACACATAAAACCCTGGAAAACACCACTACATACTCATGAGATAGAGTGAAAAGGCAAATCACATCTTAGTATTATTAAGAAAACAGCTTTGACCTTGGGGACCTGCTGAAAGGGTCTGGGACCATACTTTGAGAACCATTGCTGAATGAATTCATAGGCCTCTGGTTATAATGTATACAATTATATAGAATTTATAGCAGCCAACTATAAACTCAACAGTAACTCAATGGTTAATACATTAACTCAAGGATTACTCAAACAAGTCTATGAGGCAGTTCAGTCTATGAGGCCTATTTTATAGATGAGGAACTGTGGCTCAGAGAGGTCAAGCAACTTGCTCAATTTCACTTAATTAGAAAAAGTGGCAAAACAAGTGCTACAACCCAGGCAGTCTGGGTTCAGGGCAAATCTCTTAGCCACTGAGATACACTTCTGGTGGATATCTCCTGACACCTAGTTGGAATAGAACCTCTAAAGATTTGAGGATTTAAAAACCTACAAATGTTGAATTCGAGTATTTATGATTGTTAATAAAAACCCTCCCCTCTCTGCCTCCTAGTCTAATACAGTCCTTCCAAGACTTACCCCAGCTTCTACCTCCAAGGTGCAGTTTTCTCATTGTCTCTGATTCTTTCAACTTGACTTTCAAACCTGACAGATTTTCCCAATCTGGAGGTAAACATCATTTGTCCTGAGCCTCTCCAGCTGCTATGCTATTTTTCTCATTCCCTCTCCCACCAACTAGGCTATATCCGTTATTAATAAAAAGGGTCACCATTTATTGAGTACTTACTGTGTCCCAGGGACTGTGCTAAGCAATTTACATGCACTATATCTCATTTAATTTTCACCCACTGAAGCCGGTTCTATTTGTATTTATTACCTCTTATTATTCCCGTGTAACAGGTGAAGAAAGTGAGGCTTGGGGAGACAGTTATTGTTCAATGTCACACAATGGAGCAAATCAGAGAGTTCCTGCCCTTCAGTAGAAAACATTGCCTGCTTCAATAGCGTAAGAGATCACTATACATTTCTTATCAGGAGGGCAACACACTGAAAATAACATTTTAGAATTGTTATTCTGATAATATCAGGTAAACTGAATCCGAGTTGGGTGAAGTAGAGAGACCAAGTTGTACTATTTTGTAACATTCTGAGTGTACAATGATCTAAATTAATGATGAAAGAGAAAGGGATAGGAAGAAGGAGAGAAAGGGGGAAATCCAAGAAATATTACAAAGTCACAAGTGCCAGAATCCGTTATTGCTAGGATTTAGGAGCTACAGAAAGAAGAGGAATCAAAACCAAGTTCCTGATTCTCAGCCCAGGTCACAGGACAATAAAGGCATAGATAGTGTTCAGAAGGTACGTCTACACAACCTTAGGATTCAGGCTGATGATTTATAACTTTAGGATGTTGGTGAGATTGTGGAGATGATGATCAGACCCCATGGGGCTTAGATCAGAAGGCACTGGAAGGCATTTCCTTGAGCCGGCCCCAAATCCCCAAGGAGGAAGTTACACCCCTTCTCCAGAACCACGGCTCCATCACAAGCAGGTGTGAGCTTCCTACTAGGTCAGCCTGGTTTTCTCTGGACCCACACAGAGGAGGTGTCCATCTAAGGGGCTGACTAAAAAGCTCCACCAGAGCTGATCTCGGTATATCTGCTCAAAGTATACCTTAGATGACACCAGCTCCCACCCTCCATGACAGCCCCCTTTAAACTCCTTACTACCAAAATCTGTTCTCGCTTAAAGGGATCTGATATTTTTTTAAATGTCCTTTCCAACTTTCGCCAGTTATTTTCCCAGTGTTGGTACAGCAAAAACCAACACTTCATTTCTCCATAGGCAATTCCTAAGTTACGCAGGGATCTGTTTCCAAAATTCATTTGTGCGTCCAATGTTTGGAGAAACACTGAACGTAGCAGATCATTTGCCAGGTGAGCCCACAATGAGCTATTTCACTTGAACTACAGGGCTCTTAGCACTATTTTAATTAGCCATAACCAGTGTGCTTATAAGGAAAATATATTCTGATGTTCCACCCGAGACGCTGGGAACCTATTACACCTGGTCTGCGGGAGGATTAGTGCTACCCAAGCTGGGGCGGTAGACATCAGACGGGACGGGGAGGAGAGGAGGCATCTCCAGAGTCCAACCTTCAGCAGCGCATTTATATCTCTGGGGTATTAATGCTCCCAACTTCCCGTAGCTCCGCCTCGTTAAACTCCCCACCTTCCCCTCCATGTGTTTGCTCATGCTGTCCCCACTCTTTTCAGTCCTTCACAAATGGGACCTCCTCCCTTCTCTCTAGGGCCCAAAACAAGACTAACTTCCTCCAAGAAACCCATCTCACCACACAGCCCACACACTCTTTGCTTGATCTTTCCAGGACCGAGAACTCCTCCAGCACCCATGTGTTCTTTGCACAAGTCCCTCTAGCCTTGCTCAAAGGGGACAGCTGTGCTTTAGTTACTTCACATAATGTTCAGGCAAGAGCCTTATTCCTCAGTGCCCGAGCTCAGAACCACAGCCCCAGAAGGCACTTGAGGAACCCTGGTGAAGTGAGCAGGGTGGCGTAAGGGAAGGTCACAAGCTTCGGTATCATACACACCAGGGTTTGTATCTTCTCCAGGTGACCTTGGGCAGTTGCTTAGTCTCTCTCTAAGACTCAGTATGTTCATCCAAAGATACGAAAGATGACTGAATCCCCCAGGAAGGGATATGAGGATTCAATGAGAAGCATACAAAGGGCCTTGCATGTTCTAGTGTGGAATAAAGGGCAGCTGTCACCAGGAATTACAGCCATCACCACACACATTCCTGAGCAGTCACTTCAGTCATGCCTTTGCCTTGGGCAAGTAAATACTTAGAACCTTTCCGAGCAAGATGTTTATTTCTTTTTTCTTTTTTTTACCTTTAAGAGAAAGAGTACAGCGTCTCCTAGATAATCTGTTTAGAACTCAATCACCTCAACCCACAAAGAAAGTTTTCTGAGCATTTAACAAATTTGTCACAATATGTAAGTATTCTGAAGTCTTGAGTGAAAGTTTATAGCCAAGTAAGAGATCCACAGTGGAATTCTCAACAGTGGCCCTTCTCCATATATTAATTTCTGCAAATGCTCTAAAGAACGCTGGAATCTAGCAATGTCTCGAAATAAGACCTGGTGTGCTGCAAAGTGGGTTCAGCTGACTGGAACAAGCTTGAAACTTTGATAACTATTTAAAGAACACCCACCATGCGCTAGGTTCTCCGCCAGGCACTTGGAACACATCAATAACAAAATGGACATTCTAGATGGATATACTTAAATAACAGGCATGGCAGTTCCCTAATCTTAGTCAACTGGCTTAATGAAAGGCGGCTGTTGAACCTAACAGAGGAAAGGGCCAAAGGGGGACAAAAGCGAAAGAGGGAAGGAGGAAGCAGGAGGCTGCCGGTGTGTGTGAAGAGAGGACCCAGAGGCTTCTTCAGGATGGACAGAGCTCCTGCAGATGGAGGGTGGGAAGCAGAGGGAGAGGAGAGCCACCTTCCACTGCTTTGGACTACAACTCACTCAGGAGTTACCGCCTTCTCTAACTTTCTCCTGAAATCCTCTTTCCTCTTCCTCCTCTGCCTCACAGTGACTTACAGCCTGCGTAAGAAGGGGGGACCACCGAAGAAGCCGTGGCTGCAGGCTTCATTCCTATTTATCTGCACCCCCTACAGAATTTTACCTTTGGCCCTATTCTAAACAGTTCTAACAAGGACGATTTTACCCATTAATTATATACAAATAGATTTGTTAACTCAAGCAGCAAAGCAAGAGACAAGTCCTAGCCCAGGAGGTGGAGTACAAAGGTTTCAGTTTTGGTCCTGCTGCTTCAGCTACATGAGCTTGGTCAGGTCTCTGAACACCTGGAAACCGAGGTTCTCTCTTGGCCACTAGGGCTCCGGACTGCTGTCCTGTTCAAACTGGCCAATTCCATCAAATGTTCATTACATATTATAAAATGGTTCCTTTGGTATTTTTCACACATATATATATGATCCAATTTACGTAAAAATTATTTCAGATTATGCACATATATAAGGCTGTAAATACATCAAAAGGGCACAGAAGGATACAGACCCCGTTCTTTAAAATGACTGTCTCTGGGAGACAGGGACAGGGTAGGAAGCAGTGAGTTGGGACTTCGCAATTTTTGCTCTCTATACTTCCATAAGATCAACTTCGTTTACAGCATTATGACTTGTGTAATAAGAAGAAGACCAAAAGTAACCCATCCACAGTAGTGTATGGTATGGGCTAGAGAATGTGAAGACTGACTTATATGTGTCTGTGGAAAAGTATTTCTTGATTCCTCTCTGTCCCTAAAACTGGAGATATAGAATGAAAAACACAATTTTTAGAACAGTGGTTATCTCGCAAGAGGGGGGAAAGGAAGGAAGTGTAGTTGAGGAAGAACATGGGACTTTTTAATCCCTTCAGATGGCTGGTAGGCCCTTGAGTATTCATGTTATTTTTCTTTAAACCACACACACACACGTGCACACACACACACACACATATTCTACAATACACTATATATTGTTCTCTATGTTTGATATATTCCATAATAAAAATGTAAGAACAGGGCTTCCTTGGTGGTGCAGTGGTTAAGAATCCGCCTGCCAATGCAGGGGACACGGGTTCGATCTCTGGCCCGTGAAGATCCCACATGCCGCGGAGCAACTGAGCCCGTGTGCCACAACTACTGAGCCTGCGCTCTAGAGCCTGCAAACCACAACTACTGAAGCCCATGCGCCTAGAGCTTGTGCTCCACAACAAGAGAAGCCACTGCAATGAGAAGCCCACATGCCACATTAAAGAGTAGCCCCTGCTCACCACAATCAGAGAAAGCCTGCGCACAGCAACAGAGACCCAATGCAGCCAAAAATAAAAATTAAAAATAAGTAAATTTTAAAAAAATGTAAAAACACAAAAGCTGGGAAATATCCACCTATGTGCTTCAACCTTATCCCTTTCTCCAAGTTGATTCCGACAGAGTAAGACACTGATTTGCAGAGGTGCCCCCTGGAGTACCTTCTCTGGGCCTGGATCTCCTCCTGGGCTATGTGCCTCTCCTGGGCCCGGGCTTCTTCCACGGCCTGGACTTTCTCCTGGTGGCACTCCATCATGATCCTCTGGATCCTGTGGACCATGCGTTGCTCGGCAGCCAGGTGTTCTCGCTGTAGTTCTTCCTCCATGTTTTGATGCAACTCGATCTTGGTCTTAGATACCATTTCCTTAAGCAACAGAAAAACTAGGTTTAGGTGTTACAGCTTTGATGTTTAAAAACGTTATTCAAATCATAATTCATCTGCCCGATGGAATGTACACCAGTTAAGCCTAATGATTTAAAAGAAGAGTGTATTTAAAAAAGAAGCAGACTCACAGATATAGATCTAACTAATGTTTACCAGCGGGGAGAGGGAAGGGGGAGGGGCAATACAGGGGGTGGGGAAAAAAAGGGGATTATGGGGTTGTATGAAATCACGTGTGTGAAACTTCTGAATATTGTAAAGCACCATAGAATTTAGTCTTTCATTCAATAAAAAAATATTTTTTTAAAAAAGTAAAGGAATACAGAAAAAAATGGAAAAAGAAAAAAAACTGGAATGGCATATCCATATCATGGAATATTACATGGCTATTAAAAGGAAAAAATAAAGAAGAGTGTATACTATATGGAAAAGTTTCATTTATAATGATGTTAAGTAAAATCAGAAATGCACAAGCTAGCATAAAATACGTATATAGATAATATTGGAAAGGAATTGCAAAAAGAAGAGTAATTGGGTCACAGGTATTTTTTCTTGATTGTCCAAATATTCTATAGTGTCCTATTACCTTTATCCATGATTAGAAATACAGAACATGATACTGCTTTAGGAAGTCAGTCCTGGAAAATGGCAGAAATAATGACTATGAGAGTCTCCTGGGTAGGAGGACACCTGAGGCCCGGGCAGCAAGCACCGCACACAAACGCAGTCACAGGAAGCTGCCTGCCAGTCCCCACTGTCATTCTGGAGCATTCCAGCTCATTCGAGCTGAGGGGCTCTTCCTCGTTGACAAAGGGGATGGGAGCAAGGGCTCCACTGCGCCAAGGTAGAAGGACCTGTGGAGGCTTCAGCCGAGTAAAAAGAGGAGGCACTTGCCAAACCAGGACCTGAGGGAAACAGGCTCCCAAGGAAAACCCTGTATCCCCGGAAATGTCCACCGACAGCACGGTGTGACAGGCACAGTGCTAGGCCCGATGCTACAGACAGAAGGAGGCTGGAATCCGCCTCGGGACTCGCTGCCTAGCAGAGGAGACCCAGACCCCATCCTGCAACCAGTGATTTAACAGAAACACATGCCAGAAAGGAGGAGCAATTAATTCCATCCAGGAGTTTCAAAACTTTCATTTAAAGGTCAGTTTGTATCTGTTTCAGGGATAAGAGAGAACATAAAGAAATAAAGGTGCTCAATATTCTGTGATAACCTAAATGGGAAAAGGATTTGATAAAGTACAGAAACACGTATATGTATAACTGAATCACTTTGTTGTACACCTGAAACTAACACGACATTGTAAATCAACTCTGCTCCAATATTAAACAAAAATTTTTTTAAAAAAGAAAGAATAGGGGCTTCCCTGGTGGCGCAGTGGTTGGGAGTTCGCCCGCCGATGCAGGGACGCGGGTTTGTGCCCCGGTCCGGGAGGATCCCACGTGCCACGGAGCGGCTGGGCCCGTGAGCCATGGCCGCTGAGCCTGCGCATCCGGAGCCTGTGCTCCGCAACGGGAGAGGCCACAACAGTGAGAGGCCCGCGTACCGCAAAAAAAAAAGAATAAAAACAAAAGAAAATAAGTTATTTCACAGAGTGAGTCAGTGGAACAAAAGCAGGATTCTCGCCCACCAGCTTCTCGCCTCATTGCTGGCTGTGATGCTGGGGTCTTTCCAGAGATTCATCAGTTTATTTTCCTTCCAGAAACGCCGTCCGGGCTTATAAGACAGTGAGGTTCCTCCCTCCCTCCTCCTCCCTATCTCCCAGAGACAATCACTGAGCAGGGAATGGAAGGTTCTGCTACAGGTAATAAGCCTGAGTCTCTATCTTGTAGTCAGAGGCCGTTGTTTAACGTCTTAGGGGATATTTTAACTTCTTAGGGATTATTTCTGGGTTTTCAAGTACATTTTCAGTAACTGAGATTGCTGAATGGTTGAACCTTAGATAGATGTATTATCATAATACATTTCTATTTGAATCACAGAATTTAAAAATGACACACCAGCCCTTTATTTTGACTGGGTTCTGAACAAGGATTCAGAGAATTAAACCCTGTCCCTCTTTTATGTAATGGTTTAGTAAAACCAAAATCATTTTACTGCCTCATACAGCATGTCCTATACCTATTTAAAGCTACGAAAAAATAATTCAATGACCTACTGTTTGGTGGTGTTCTTACCCAATGGAAAGCCTTCCAGTTAAATTACTTTTACTGAAATGCATTTTGAGTGAATCAGCCTCTACCTGGAGATAAGAGACAGCCTCATGAAATCCATCCTCTTTACTGTGCAGATGTTTGACAGACCTTCCTTTATTACACAATGCCTCCCTCATGAGAAGTTTCTCTCAGGTATCACATGGAGGAAGATCTGGGCCATCTGAGTACCGGATTTGTTTTTACCTCATGGACATGGTGATTCATAGCACTTTCCTCTGTGCATTGACTGTCAGAAAGCTCAAGGGCCAGCTATGGTAACTGCACAGGACCTTGTGGCATACAGACATTCCTAAGTTTCGGATTCACACCTGACTTCATTCTATTTCCTACTCTCATTTTCCCTTAGCTTCCATTTTATTATTTACTTTTTAATATTATTGTATTTGAATAATATTAGCACCGTTTCAAAATCCTATCTGTCCATTGGACAAGACCTGGAAATTTTATTTAACAGCAAACATCTGACACCCAAATTCTTAACATCACAGAAGAGCAATACCTGGTGATTCCTGCGTCCCAGAATGTAATGCTGTTTGGTTCTAGAAGAACCTGGTTTTCTGCTCTCTATACGGGTAATCTCAAACTTTAATATGAGAGAATATGTGTGACTTTATATGTGCTTATATCAAACTTTAATATATGTGAGAATCACATGGGCTGCTGGTTAAATACGCTGCCAATGACTCTGTAGGTCAGGTGGAGCCCAGGAATCTGCAGGTAAGTAGGCTCTAAGGAGGTGGTTCAGAGACACCCCCTGAGGAGCAATAGCGATGTCTGTCTGGGGACCCTACAGCTGAAACAACCCTCCACATCCCTCTTAGACAAATCACTCATTCATCATCATAATAAAAAAAAAAGTCCCTGAGACTTTCTTAGAATAATTTGGAAAGGTCAACCTCCCTCTTTAAACTTTCTTAGGACTTCTTCTATTTTAACACTAAGTGCATCAACTCAACCCAAAGACTATATGGGGTACCATCAAATTACCTAGAGCAAGACTAGGAGGCAAGCTCCTTGCAACAGGCATCACATCTAAGCTACCCTTGCCTCATCACACCCTAATGCCAGGAGTGATATTTAAAATGTGGATCCTCTGGCTGCAGCACAGGACAGGGTCCTAGAGGCCCACACCCATGGAAACGGTTGCCCCTTCAAATTGCTGGGCTGCGGGAGGTCCAGGGTAGTGAAGGTGTTAGGGGTCCGGGGAGTGGTGATTTATCAATTGATAGAGGAGTATTTCACTATTCAAGAACCAGTGTGGCCGTTCCGGTCCCAGCTAGCTGAGCAGCAGGCCTATCTGGACATGCTATAAACGCTCCTCCCGTTTCGAAGTGAAATCAGGGATGGCCACGGGAGCCAAGCAGGGAGGATCAACCGTCCCTTAGGATCCCTGGGGTGGGGGTCCCTTTCCTGCCAGAAAGTTTTCTGAGGACAGTCTATTTAATCTCGCCTGGTACAGAGCTGATACATGGCAGGTGCTCACGGCTGAAACGAGAGACAAAAGGGCCCATGGTCCCTGAACTGTTTATTCGTTATGTTCTTATTGAATTAGGCCAAACCTGGGTCCACACTTCTGCCACTTTCCCTCCAGCCTCTGCCCAGGAATCATCACACCTGCATCGTGCCCTGTCCTGTCCCTCCCGTGACCCACGTGTGAAAATAGTTCTGTTTTTTCCTTTGAGCAGAGTTTGGGACTGAACTGTGTAAGGAACCCCTGGGTCTCTGCCTGGACAGTTTACTGACTACCCAGAGTCGTGTACTGGAACAAGTTACAGGCTGGAAAGAGTTCCCCTCATTGTGTGACCTCTGGTCCTGCAGGAAATACCTGAGAAACAGAGGTCCCTATTGGCATCGCGGTAAATGCAAACTTAGGAAAAAGGATGCAATCAGAGAGCTCAGGAGAAGGGAGAGAAGCGCCTGCTTCCTCTCTTCAGCCCGTTTTCACATTTACAAAGTCAAGGCACCGTGCTGGCACCGGGACAAGGGTGGTAGCGAGGCAGACACACCTTTATGAAGGCTGCAGGCAGATGGCGATCAGATATTCAACAAGTAATCAATCCTCCAATCTACTTACTTACGCCAGTGCTAGGTGGTGATGCTGTTAAAGAGGGCGGGGTGACAAGGACAGTGTATGGGTAGCAGGACAGAGCTGATCAGGTAAGGTCTCCCTTGACCAGTGATGCCTGATGTCTGATGAAGTGCAGGAAGAACATTCTGGCAAAGTTCCCAAGGTGGGAAGGAGTGTGGTGCATACAGGTTTGAGGGTCCAGAAGAAGGGGACTGAGAGGAGGAAAGAGAGCCAGTGGCAAGGGATGTAGGGTCCGGCAGGCAGGGGTGCCTCCTTCATACCTTAACCCCATAAAGGTTTGGGTTCATTATATCAAAGTCCATTCATTATGCTTCATTATGTCAAAGGGATTCTCTTGCACCCATGCATCACTGTTGCCATGGAGTCCAGCATACCTTCTGTGAAAATCCTGGGCCTCCCAACCAACCTCCATGGAACATGCCAGAGCTTTTTACTAAAGTACCGCTAAAAAGACAACAAACAAGCCACTATAAAAACCTGTAAATCTTTTTGATGTTCCTCTTTCAGAATCTGGATTTTCATTTTGTGCATGTCATTTGCTTCTTCAAGGGCTTTCTTCACTGCTTCTCTTTGGCGTTCATCTGCCTTTGAAAGAGTTCATTTATTAATATGTATCAGGTTTTCATGTTTAATGAAAACTAGCAACCACCCTGGGGCCCCTGACTACTGGCTCTGTTCCCATCTCAAACCTCCCATAGCAATCTAGGCCTCAGCCAGAGATGCCCTAACACGGCCCAAACCGTGGCTAAAATCACTGTTTCAGGAATTGCTAAGGAGAGCTTTACTGCAGGCTGCTGGGTTGTCTTTTTTCTTTGGCACTTTATTTCTTGCTTGATTGACTATCAAAGTCATGTATGCTCATCGCAGAAAATCTGGAAAATACAGAGAAGTGGAAAAATGCACGAAGCCTGAAATTACTGAGAAGGGAGGCTGAGTACCATCCCAGATCCCCTGCATCAGGGTCTTCAGGAAGAGGTTTCATTATTTTATTTCAAGAGAATGCCCAGAACATTAGTTATATTTAAATTGTATATTGTTATACTTATATTTAAATTGTACATTATTCACAAAAGCATTCTCTTGTGTTAGGGTAGTTAATGGCTCACAATCAATTTAAATTTTATTATTATTGATAAGGATATATGTCTAGTAAGATTTTTATTTCTATTATCCTTTGCACTGAAGCATTTTGTACTTTCGAAGTACTTTAATACCAAGCTTTTGCTGGGACTAATGCTGGGCAATTCCAACACTCTTTGCTATGATGCTTACTTTATAGAGAAACCAAGAAATAATGTTCTAGCACTGTGGGTTGTCCCGCTCTCAAGGAGCGCTAATTTTCTTTAGGAAGTCACGTATGGCATTTTCTCTCTAACTGGAAGAAGTGGGAGCTGGAGAATTGAGATTCTGCTTCGCTGAAGTGTCTGGGATCTGACCATGAGCCCCAAGACCCTCAAATTGCCTCCATGGCCCTCGGCAGTCGCATGGACAAGGTGTCAAGGACTTTGGAGCGAAGGGGAGCTGGGAGAGGGGGTGAAAAGGAGAGTCAGCTATGACGCAGCATTTGGAAAAAACAAGCACTTAGGGGCATTACACACTGCACAAACGAATGGTCTACTATATATTAAATATTAAGCTATAATAAACACCTACAACAAGAATGTCTTTTTAAAAAGGTTTTAATCCCATGAGAGTAAAGGGAGCAGGCAGGAGTCATCCACACAGAGGGGCAATTTAGACAGAAGGAAGTGCCTGATGACTTCTACTTCTTACTTAGCACCTACTGTGTGCCGGGCACGTTATTTCATTGAACTCTCTCAATAATCCTACAGAGTGAGTATTACTGTTCCTCTTTTACATTTGAAGACGCCAAGACTACGGAATTGAAGAACTTGCTACCCTGGTCCCACAGACACCAGCATTCAAGTCGGTTCTGCCTGACTCCACTCTTTCATACAAATCCAAAACGTGAAAGAACCACAAAGATGCATTCAGGTTGATTTCCAACTTCCTTTACCTTAGCCCATATGTCAGCTTCTGCTTTTGCAATACGTTCTTTGAGTACAGCTTCTTGAAACTGCTCTCCTTTATTCAGAATATCTGTCCCAATATCTGTGTGTTTGAAGAGAAAAAAGAAATCACAAATATCCACAGACTGTTTCTTGGCTTTCCTTTTCACTGTTATCGAGTTATTTATTAGAGTTATCTAAGAAATATATCCTTTCAGGAAATGTCAGTCTTTAAAGATACCCATGAAAGGGGTAAGTTCTTCCCTAACTGATTAAGAGGGAACTCACAGCACTGTGTATTAGATCCAGTCCACAGGGAGGCAACTGGGGAAGTAAAATTTAAAAAAAGTAAAATAAAACTACACACCAAAGAAAAAAAGTACATGTGAGGTCTGCACCTGAATTAACAGTATTGATCCAACACCAATTTCCTGGTTTTGACAGTGTAGCAGCATTATGTAAGGCATCAATGAGAGAAGCTGGATGGGAACTCTCTGTTCTATTTTTAAAACTTATCAGTCTTCAACTATTTCCAAATAAAAAACTATTAAAATATGTAAAAAATATTTTAAAACTTAAAAGAAAACCCCACAAGCTAAGGGCCGATTCTGAAGGTTCTAATTTACTGGGTCTGTGTTGGATTAGTATTGTAATAGGGAAGAACAAATCTGACTCCATATTAGATCTGTTTCTTTTACTTTAACCTTTGTATTCTATTGTTTTGCTTAGAGTTAAGAATGTTGCCTATAGCCTGAAATTTACAGGATAGCCCATTCTCAAGGTTCTGACCTTTAAAGGTGTTAACACTTCCCCATTCATATAGAGATAAAAAGTTGCAAAACAGAGAATAAAATTTGTCTTGCTGGAGGTTACAGTAACATCATGACCTGACCTACCCAGACAGCTGCAAGAACAAAGGATTCCTGCACCAAGAAGTCTGCAACAACCAGCCACCACCCCCCCCCACCCCTTTTAATATAAAAGAAGCCTGATTTCTGAATGGGGTACCATGGTTCTCTAGGACATTAGTCTGCAATCTTCTGGGTCTGCTGGCTTTCCAAATAAAGTCGTTATTCCTTGCCCTGAGTCTCCTGATTCACTGGCCTGTTGTATGGTGAGCAGAACAGGTTTGGACTCGGTAACAGTATTTTTTTTTAATGGGTAAATTTGCTTTATCAGATAAATTCACAGTTAATGCAGAATTTCACTTTCGTAATTTATATTAAAGATTAAAGATAATGTATCTTTATTATACATTCTAAGATTTCAACTATTTTAAAACCCACTAATTCATTTAATATTGCAATTTGCATGGCAATAAACAATGAGTTCTAACTTTCTTAAAGGTGTCTATAGCAATTTAAAATACCATGAGTCTTCTTTTCAGTTTGTAGCACCTGACTTAAGACCTTTATAAAAACAGATTTTAAATTCATTTAATGTACTCATTAAGATTCATTGTCACTGTTTCTCTTGTAAGGAAAACAAATTTCAATTGCTATTTCCCAGACTATATTGAGCAATGGTGTATATTATTTTCAAATGGTTAGCAGAATTTTACTCACATAAATTTATAGTCAGAAAAAGAACTCAGCCTCTCTGAATGCCTATCCACTCAAAACGATGATGAAAATAATGTATAAAATGGATTTGTGGGTCTGACCTCCTATTTAACACTATCAAACACGTTCCAAGTATTCCTAGAAAATATTTTAAAATATATGCAAATATTCTACCATATGACAAACCATCATTTCTTTAACCATTTCCCAATTGTTCATCTTTATCATTTGTAATTTTTTTACATCATGAGTAGCACTCTGAAGAACACCCTCAACCACAGTTTTAAACCAGACATTATATCTTTAGGATAATGTCAAGAAGTGGGTCATGGGCTTCCCTGGTGGCGCAGTGGTTGGGAGTCCGCCTGCCGATGCAGGGGATGCGGGTTCGTGCCCCAGTCCAGGAGGATCCCACATGCAGTGCCCGTGAGCCATGGTCGCTGAGCCTGCGCGTCCGGAGCCTGTGCTCCGCAACGGGAGAGGCCACAACAGTTAGAGGCCCGCATACCGCAAAAAAAGAAAAAAGAAAAAAGAAAACTTCAGTACCAAATGACCAAAATTTTTTATTTGACTAAATTCTATTTCATGCACAAGCATGACACCCTCTCCTGTTTATTAGACTTTGGAAAAAAAAAAAAAAAAAAAAAAAAAGCAGCCTTGTACAGAACAGTGAAAATGCCAGGGGTGAGGGTAGGCTACAGTTTTACTGTAGGATAAATATATATATATATATAAAATATATACAAATATATATATAAAGACCTTTTTCCCTTTGGCCATATCAACAATCAGTTCAGATCATTAAATACAGACAAATTTTCAAAATCGCTTCTTCACTTCTCCACGATCTTCAATGCTATTATCATCCACTTCTGGCCATTTTTCCTGAATGACATCACTTATGTCATCTGTAAAGTCTCCCTGAATGCTGATTTCATCCTCCCCTATTACTGAGGCACCCAGGAGAATTTCTGAGCAAAAATCCTTTGTGCTCCTTCAAGATTGATTTCAAAAGTTGCAAGGCCACACACTCTTGTTACATATTTCTTCTTTGCTCTGGGAATTTTGGCTATCTAACCTTCTGTAGTAGCCTTCTTTTTTTGTTTTGTTTGACCCCTTCCACCTCTCTTTTGTTTCTTCTCTTCCTCTTCCCCTGCTGTTCCTTGACCCTCACTTCTTGTTCCAGCTTCTCGTTCGGGTGAATTTTCTACAGTAAGTTTTGCAAACTCATTTGAAAAATTCTTCTCTAACCATTGTCGACATTTAGCAACATCAGACATATATTCACAGTACTCTGTTGGTAATGAATAGACTCCGCAGTAAAGGATTCGAAGTGGGTAATCTGTATCTAACTTGGTATTGCTCCTCGGGTCTCCTTTGCAATCATGCCCACCGGATTCAGAAATGTCAGCAGCCATTTCAAAACCCGGGTGGTCGCACAGTCTCCGCCATCTCCGCGCTCGCCACCACCGCCAGCTGAAGTGACACATGAGACTCGTCTTCCCCGGCCAGAGCCGCCCAAGAGCTCGGTAACAATATTAAATCCAATGAGTCTGTGTTTGGATTTAAAAGTTCTGTAGGACACTGCCAGGGTTGAGAACTACCCTATGCAATACTCATTAGCATTGATACAGACATTTCAATATGCTTTAATTTATTCACTTAATGTTTGGATTCAGATATCCTAGGAGGCATAAGGAATCAACCCATAAAAGCATATTAAGAATAGATATCCACTGCTCTGGGTGTAAAAGGTCAAATCATTATAGAGATAATAATTAATAAGTCATACTGAACAGTTACTAAAAGTTAAAATCAGTTATCAGTTTTGGTATTGATATTTTTAGAGGATGATCCCAATTTGATCTCCCGCTACATTTTAGCTTTTTCAAAACACCATCTATTCTCTAGCTTCTTACATGTTCAAAGATCAGGAGTGAAATTTAATCACCACTAATTTAACATATTAAGGAAGAGAGGATATGAGAAGTATTTTGAGAGTTCTTAGGAAAACACTTTTAAGGCTTAAAGTCAGACTGAAAAATCTGACGGATATGAGAAGGAAACCTGTAATTACAACTTGATTTGCTTACTAGAAGTGTATATATGGGGGGGAGGGATAAATTGGGAATTCGGGATTAACAGATACACACTACTATATATAAAATAGATAAACAAGGACCTACTGTATAGCACAAGGAATTATACTCAATATCTTGTAATAACCTATGATGGAAAACAATCTGAAAAAGAACATATATTTATATAAAAGAATATATATTTTATATAAATATATTTTATATAAAATACATTTATATAAATTTTTATATTTATATATATATATAAAATGAATCACTTTGCTATATACCTGAAACATGGTAAATCAACTATATTTCAATAAAAAATTTTTAAAAATACAAAAGGATTTAAAAGAGGAAGAAAAATAAGTGTATATATAGTACATATTCTGTTACCCAGATCTACCTACTTTTATGTCACCAGCTACTAATATAGTTTTACCATATGCTAACGCATATATATGCAATCTAAAAAAAAATGGTTCTGATGCACCTAGTGTCAGGACAGGAATAAAGACGCAGACATAGAGAATGGACTTGAGGGCGGGGGCGGGGAGGGGGAAGGGTAAGCTGGGACGAGGTGAGAGAGTGGGATGGACGGATATATACTACCAAATGTAAAATAGATTAACTAGTGGGAAGCAGCCGCATAGCACAGGGAGGTCAGCTCGGTGCTTTGTGACCACCTAGAGGGGTGGGATAGGGAGGGTGGGAGGGAGACGCAAGAGGGAGGGGATATGGGGATATAAGTATACGTACAGCTGATTCACTTTGTTATACAGCAGGAACTAACACACCATTGTGAAGCATTATACTCCAATAAAGATGTATTAAAAAAAAGAATATAGTTTCTTTCACCCATGTATTAAGGTATTACTTAGAGATATTTCCTCTCCTATGTGTATGGAAGGTGCCCAATTATGAGGAAGGGCAAAAAGAACTCTCAGTTACTATTATGTGCCAGGCTTTAGAATAGGTACAAATATTTCATTAAAGCCTCAGACAAATCTGCAAGGTAAGTATTAACATACCTATTTACATATAAGGAGACAGACTGAGAGACTAAGCATACTGTCAAGGCACACAACTGGGAAATGGAGAACTGGATTTCAACCCACATTCTTCTCATGCCAAACAGACACCCCTGCAGGACAAGCAACTTTGATCAGGAGGGCTGATCAAAGTCTACACATCAGGAAGAATGTCATATAATGCTATGAAACATTAGAACAAAGAAAAACAGCAAAGTCACTTACCCAGTATATCTTTGTGAGTGTAAAAGCGTGTCTTAAATGGCTTGTACTCATGGATCCGTTTGAAGATTTCCCCAAAGGGGGCTGGTGGAATTATCTTATTACATACAGCACAGCAAACAAAGTTTGTGTAATTCGGATTTCTGATCATAATTAAATTTGTCTTTTACTAAGTACAGTCAAAACACTCTAAGGATCAGAAAAAGTAATTTTAAGAAAAGCTAGACGTTTGAGAAAGCTGGAAGAGGTTCAAGGTTTGAAGATAATGCTAGAGGCTTGCAAGGATTAAATGATTTGCCATGATTAGGTAGTGGTTATGTGCCTAATGGTAAAGAACGGTAATGAAAGCCTCTGCCATATAAGGTCTGGGCACTGGATTTGGGAAGATTTAAGCAGTTGCTCCCTCCTAGACTCTAGATTAAACTGTTAACTTACTTAGCAACTGTTGCTAGGTAAGACAAGCTTTGCTCATAAAAGCGACTAGAAATAATGACTAAAGGGAACATGGTACAGCTGTTCATTTCCCAGATACCTTCTGTATTAGTTTCCTTCTGGGGTTGTAACAAATTACCACACATTTAGTAGCTTAAAACCACACAAATTTATTCTCTTGCACTTCCGGAGGTCAGAAGTCCAAAATGAGTCTTATGGGGCTACAATTAAGATGTTAGCAGCACTGGTCCTTCTGGAGGCTTTAGGGGAGAATCTGTTTTCTTGCCTTTTCCAGCTTCCAGAGGCCACCCACGTTCCTTGGCCCATGGACTCACATCAATATAGCCTTTTCTCTTCCTGTTTGCAGGGTGACATTGCTTCTTCCTCTGATCATCTGCCTCTCTCTTATAAGGACTTCTGTGATTCTATCAAGCCCACCCAGATAATAAAGGATAATTTCCCCATCTCAAAATCCTGAACTTAATCACATCTGTCAAGACCCTTCTGCCATATAATGGAACATATTCACAGGTTCTAGGGATTAGGATCCAAACATCTCTGGGGTGGCTGGGGGAAAAGGAGTATTATTCAGCCTGCTATACTTTCTATTAAATGGTTTGTTTTAAAGAATTGACTTTTGGGGCTTCCCTGGTGGCGCAGTGGTTGAGAGTCTGCCTGCCGATTCAGGGGACACAGGTTCGTGCCCCGGTCCGGGAAGATCCCACATGCCGCAGAGCGGCTGGGCCCGTGAGCCATGGCTGCTGAGCCTGCGCGTCCGGAGCCTGTGCTCCGCAGCGGGAGAGGCCCGCGTACCAAAAAAAAACCAAAAAAAAAAAGAAGTGATTTTTTAGGCCAGAAAAGGAGGGAGTTTAATTTTTTTTCAGGTTATCTATAAATATGTTTTTGTGCCATGGCAATAAAACTGGGAAATATCACAAGTATCTTAGAGGAAAATTTACTTTCATTAAGCAAGCACTCAAAATTACTAAGCTTGGTTTTAAAAATCAGAGTTAACTAATTTGTTGTCCTTGTTTTAAAATGGAAAGTGCTACATCTCAAGAACCCCCTCGATGCCTGGCAAACTGGGACAGATTGGTCACCCGATAAGGGTATAAAATAATAAGTAACTTCACTGTTTATGTCAGGAAATTCTTATCAACTTGTCAGTTGAACTGCTCGCTCCTCTGGGCAAATAGCTCTTCTATCAGAAGAGATTGCTTCCCTGGGCAAAGAGGTCGCTTACACCTTATCAAAGGTTCACTTACCAAGACTTGCTTCAAGACTGAATCTCTTATGTTACTGAGTTTGCCCAATCTCAACCAGATTCCTGCACTGGAAAACATTCCTCCTACCACTTGAACCCAGACTACAAAAGGCTGTAATTATCTTGCCCTGAGCATCCCCTCCTTAGACAACTGACTCTGTCAAAGTGGCATTTTCCTTTAGAGGAATGAAAACATCAACACACAGCCAGGCAGCCTTTGACACTGCACACAGAAAGACTGTGCTACAGAACTTGTAACCACCCTGTAAATATACAGTATCACAGTTACTTGCTCCTAAAATTTAATGGGATTCTTCCCTTGCACTACTTTTCACAGCTGTGTGCCTTGCAGAATCTACTGCTACCCTGGTTCATTCACACACGTCACATGGCTTAAGGCCGCCCTCCGTCCAGTTCCGGATGCCCTTCTTTGCTGCAATATCTCCTGATAGCTCACCCAACTAATACCTCCCTCACCAAATAGCAACTTATTTTGCTGACTACTAGAAGAACTCTAAAGACAATGATGTGACATTAAATGCGTAAGTTGAAAACAGAAGAACTCTAGTTCTTTAATAACCAACAGCAGAAGATAATACTTTAAATTAAAAGGCATTTTATACCTCCTAAGTGCATTTTAAACTACTTTAAGTGTACTATACAGAGACACCTAGCAAAGAAATATTTAGGGCTCAGTAGTAAAGATTTAATTTAGTTGCATGTAGATAATTAGCTAAGCTCTTTAATATTTACAAATCAGACATAATTACATTTTCATGTATCTTGCAAAACCACAATAAAGCACTGGAAATTAAATATTACATTATGATGATAAACTCTGCCTATGCAATTATTTTACTTGTTAATAATAAATGAAACAAAATTTCAGAGATGAGATTTATTACTGAGCTCCAATTCCAATGATTTGGAGAATGCGGTAAATATCTAGAAATGAAACAGGTCTAGAACACTCATCAGAAAGGTATATATATATAAGGTAAGCCCATGTTCTTATGGTTATTTTAAAACTAGACCTTCTTTTCTTATCTATTGAGTAGTTCTAGTTTTTAAATAACTTTAAGAACATTTGGTCTACATTTATAATATCACTGTAACATTTACAAAAGCCAAAACAGATAACGGTTATAGTCAAATAAAAACATCATACTCAGTATAACATACTTTCTTTTTAAAAAAAGAAAAACTCCAATTACTTTGGATTATTCTCTCATTTAATCTTTATTTTAGTAGTTGAATGGGAGTATCTTTTCAATTAAAATTCTGGACCAAAATTAGCTGAAATGGAAAATCGAAACATAAGACCCATCTGTGACTCTGTCAAAACTATTTGTTTTTAACTGCAGGCTTTACGATAATTTACAATTGTTTTTTTCTTTACAAATATAGGTTCTATGCCAGGTAGAAAATGAACACTGTCCTTGCAAACAGCAAAACAAACTAAACACTCACAACAGTTGTAAATGCACAATTCCCCTTAAAATGTTAAAAATACCATGTAAATTTAAGAGCATCGGTACTTTTTATTATATAGAACTTAATTCACAAAAGTGACTTCCATTCTCATGGCACTTTTACAAGAGGATTTAGTCAAGAAAAAATATTGAGCAGCTCTTTCTGTGGAAAAAGAATGCGATAATGGCTACAGTTTTGAAAGGACAACATTCACTATAGTGGCCTGGCTGCAACCGTCATCCTTCTTCCTCGGTAGCATCTTCTAGAACAAGAAACAAGATACTGTTTGGTGCTAATCTTCACCTGAAGATTTCAGAGTCCCCAGTAAAGCTCCATCTGCAGTAACCAGCACTGTTAATCCCACTTAGATGTTTTCCTCCTCATATAACTGTGTCCCTCACTATCAATAGCTTCATAGAGGTCCTTCTTATTCTCCTGTGTCGCATGTAGATAACCGATATAAGCCACACAAAGTGAAAGGGTTATCAATCCGAAAGCCATTACAGGTTTGTTCTGTCAAAGGAAAAAAATTGTAAGACCTCATTAAGACTCATCATTTGAGGAGACTCAAGTATCTCTTGCACTTTTCTCTTGACACGCCAAGGCTTTAGTACCACACCACATTCCTATGGTATTAATTTCATTTATAAAAATTTACCCAGTTCTTTATTCAATTAACTCAACTCCTGATAATTTAGAGACTACAGAAGACTCTTGCTTCTTCTCTCCACAGCTGGGACATCTCCAACCTTCACCTTTAGGAAGCTGAGGCTGGAAGAGGTGCGAGGGAAACGAGAGGCATGAAAACTGGTCCAGTGCTCAGAGTTTTCAGTGTTATCTGTGTGATGTGGAAAAGTTGCTTAACTTCTCTGGGCCCAAGCTTCCCACTTGCAAACCTTAAATTAGTTAATTTTGTTAGGAAGTGAGGAATGAAGTATACATGCTATTCTTCTCACCTGAGTTCATGGATAACTGGCAGAAACCCTTTCATGTCATATACCAGGTACAGCAAAATATACACGCTCTTCTCTGGGAACTTATTCTATTACCTCAAGAAATTTAGTGATTGGAGGAGAAATGCTATTATAATAACCTTGATTTGCTGCTGTAAAATCCAAGACCCTAAGAGGCAAAGTGATGCAGCTTTGAATATTTTTTTTAAAAAAAGCTTTTTAAATTTGTATTTTCTGCTTCTGTCACCATACCTGTTGTACTACTATTATTTCAAATCTTAATCATCAAAAAAAATAAAGGTCAAACCTCAGAGCAGTTTAAATTTACAATTCTTTTAAAAATATTTCTTACTTTATTTATTTATTCATTCATTCATTCATTTATGGCTGCGATGGGTCTTTGTTGCTGCGCACGGGCTTTCTCTAGTTGCAGCGAGGGCTACTCTTCGTTGCAATGTGTGGGCTTCTCATTGCGGTGGCTTCTCTTGTTGTAGAGCACGGGCTGCAGGCGCATGGGCTTCAGTACTTGTGGCACACGGGCTCAGCAGTTGTGGCTCGCGGGCTCTAGAGCGCAGGCTCAGTAGTTGTGGCACATGGGCTCAGTTGCTCCGCAGCATGTGGGATCTTCCCGGACCAGGGCTCGAACCTGTGTTCCCTGCCCTGGCAGGCAGATTCTTAACCACTGCACCACCAGGGAAGCCCTAAATTTACAATTCTTGAAATGTATCTGGCAATTAAAAGAATACATTAGGGACTTCCCTGGTGGCGCAGTGGTTAAGAATCCACCTGCCAATACAGGCGACATGGGTTCGAGCCCTGGTCCAGGAAGATCCCACATGCTGCGGAGCAACTGAGCCCATGCGCCATAACTACTGAGCCTGCGCTCTAGAGCCCACGAGCCACAACTACTAAGCCTGTGCTCTAGAGCCTAGGAGCCACAACTACTGAGCCTGTGTGCCACAACTACTGAAGCCCATGCACCTAGAGTCCATGCTCCACAACAAGAGAAGCCACCGCAATGAGAAGCACAGGCACTGCAACGAAGAGTAGTCCACGAACCGCAACGAAGAGTAGCCCCCGCTCCCTGCAACTAGAGAAAGTCCACGTGCAGCAACGAAGACCCAACGCAGCCAATAAATAAGTAAATAAATAAATATATATATAAAAGAATACATTAGTTCAACGTTTTTAAAACATTCTACTTTGATTTAATGATTTGATTGTTAAATTGACCTATTTAACTTTCAAACAGCTTATACTGGCAACTATGTTATTAAAATTCTAATCACATTCAATACATTTAAGTATACTGTATGATTTGAATTTTAAAAATGTAAAATTTATCATATCAAATATATTCAATAACTTGCTACAAAAATATGAATGATTAGCTAACTCCCTAACAGTGTACAAATGCATGTTTTGAAATTTTTCAAGGTTGTTTGCACTATCCCCCTAGGTTAAAATATTAATAAAGCCTGGAACTGTAGACTATAAGAATGACCAGGGGCTTCCCTGGTGGCGCAGTGGTTGAGAGTCCGCCTGCCGACGCAGGGGACACAGGTTCGTGCCCCGGTCCGGGAAGATCCCACATGCCGCGGAGCGGCTGGGCCCGTGAGCCATGGCCGCTGAGCCTGCGCGTCCGGAGCCTGTGCTCCGCAACGGGAGAGGCCACAACAGTGAGAGGCCCGCGTACCAAAAAAAAAAAAAAAAAAAAAGAATGACCAGATTTTCAGTCTGTTTTCTTTGTTTCAATGGAAGATCTTATTTACTTAACAATACTTGATCAAACAATAAAAATTTCCTTAAAATTAATGCAGATATTAAAATAAAATTTTAAACAGGAATTTGAAAAGTCAATCCATTAAAATCCAACCATTTTCCATTAAAATTCTCCAAATGTACTCAAAATAATTAGTTTTATATGTGTATTAAGTGAAACAGCATTTAAGATCTCCCTTCCACCTGCTTTTTATTCACAGAGAGGTCTTCCAAGATAAAATCAAATAATAAGACCTATCTATTTCTGACAGCCTAGTTAAATTGAACATAAAGTCTTATCCTGGGAACTTCCCTGGTGGTCTAGTGGCTGGGACTCCGCACTCCCAGTGCAGGGGGCCTGGTTCGATCCCTGGTTGGGGAACTGAATCCCACATGCAGCAACTAAAGGTCCCACATGCTGCATCTGGGACCCAGCGCAGCCAAATAAATAAATAAATATTAAAAAAAAAAAAAAGTCTTATCATGGATGTATTTCTTACAGGTTTAATGAAGAGCTCTGGATTCACAGCTCGAAATAAGGTTGTGGAGCGGACCCCTCTGAGCCCTGGGTTTCCCAGGTCTTTTTCCTTGGGTGGCTCCTTTTTAAAGGCTGGAGGCTCAGGTGCTGAAGACATCTTGACTAATGATGATTTAGTACCTAAAAATAAAATGAGAGACTTTTTTTCCCTTCCAGATTATGTTCTTTTGATAATGCTCTTTAAGAAACGGATTCCGTATTCATTCTTTTTTGAATTCCAGTCCACTTTTCCACCAAAAATGATGGTCAATTATTTTTTTCCTTTGTATAACACATACTTTGTAAATGGAACTTCAGGTTTTGCTTGGCAAAATGGCTATTTTATTTTTCATCTCTTAGACCAAACTAGTGAGGTATGCAAAAATTGTCTTCCTACTTTTCCAGGAGGCTAGATAATTTGTTTGTTGGTCTGAGTCACACTGTATCTTGTTATATGAAGGGGGTGCTAAGGGTGGAAGTGGCCTGTGGGTTATCCACACCTTCTTAATTTCCTTCCATTTTCACTCTTCCTCACCTTCCAATAGCCCTTCAGGACAGGAGCATTCCATTGCTCCACTGCTCCCACCCCCTCTGCCTTCCTCCACCAGCCACCCCAGCACCAGCACCAGACAGAAGGGTGAGCAGCTGTCAGTCCTCACTCCCTCTCTGCCTATCAGCCACTCTCTGGAAACAACCACTATGCTACCTCCTTAATCTGAATACCCTTTTTTCCTCTTAATTACTCAGAATTTATCCTATTAGATCCGAGTATGTCTTTTGGCTTCTGGCTCTCCCAGCTGGAATGTCATCATTTTGTGAATATTTTTCTCTTCTAGATACTATTAGGCAAAAGCTTATTCCTACCATTCCTGCCACGGAATGCTTGGGGGCGGGGGCAGAGTTGCAAAGGAGAAGGTAGGGAAAGACACCTTCCAAAGAAAGGCTGAACTTGATGACAATATAATAAAATTCTTCAGGGGAAATGTTGAACCCTCTCATATAGTAAATGTTATGAAATGAGAGTCAAACACTCACATTTAAACACTCATTGGGGCTTTGTTTATTCAAGTATTCTTTAAGTCTTCCATTTTATAGTCTTTATAAAAGCAATATTTTTGCAACTTTATTACTTATGGAGAAAGTTAGTTCAGTTTTTTCAAAACATACTGATTATTCAATGGGAAAGCTCAACACATGTGTGATCCAAACACAGGAGTGTGCTATAGGCACAGCAGGTGGCCATTAGCAAGAGGATCTTGGTTTCACCCCTTCCATCCCTTTGCTAACCATTCTCAGCCATTCATTAAATAAACCTCCCATACTTTGGGCATGTGTATTGGTTTCATAATCACTGGGGAGCAAATAAACATTTCTGCAGCCCTGGGGGTGAGCTGACTTGCCAATGACAAGTGGTCTCATCTCTTCCGACCACGATGCATTACAGCAGAATAGAGCAATCATCAACCTCTGTTTACCTCTTCTGCAAAGTCTACCTTGGACACGAAGTATATGAGGTAACAACTCGTAAAACACTTATTTCATCAGCATTTAAAACGTCATTCAAGCTGTAACAAGCAATTTTTTTAAAATTTCAACTGCATTCAAGTTACTAGTTTTCTCTACTGAACAGTGTTTTTTTCACTACAGACAACTTCTGAATCATTCCATAACATGCCTGAAATTTTTTCAGCCAGCACACACTTGCTTGAAACTCATCATGCCCAAGGTTGGCAAAAAAATCCAACATTTTCTGCAGCACCAGGGGTCCACTCATATGCCCGACTCTCAAGTGAACTTCTTGAAACTCTCAAGTGAAGAAAAACGCGCAAGCTACAAGTTGCAAGCTAAGTTTTATTTGGGGACCTTACTGAGGACTATAACCTGGAAGACAGCCTCTCAAGCCTCTCAGATATATTAATAGTTATATATATACACATGCAAGATTCTTTGGTCTCCTCTTTCCTAAGCCGAACCTACATTTGCTTTGTGACGAATCAAGCAAATAAGCAATCAAGGTAGTATTTATTATACTGCAACCTCTGGACATCCACATTCTGTTTATGTTAAACTCTGCCAGAAATGACAATTAAAGAACACCTGGGCTAGAAACCACTGCAAATGTTTATTGAAAGGGCCTTTTACAATTTAAATTACCTACTACACTATATTTAAAAAGATTTAATATGCCACAATTTTCATTGTGATACTTTGGGGAACGTATGAAAATAATATTTTCCATTATATATCATTCTTTTACTAGGCCTGGAATAAGACAGCTCAGTTCTATCGCTGCTTCTCCTTTAATGAGCCACAGTCACTGAAGATGTTACAATAGTTCTCCCCAAACTGCATAACTTGTTTATGCCACTGATCAAACTAATAAAGAATTTTAACAACCTTCTGTACTTTAAGTAAAAAGAAACAGATTACTGAGGCCAAAAAGGGCCTTAGTAGGTAAGAATTTGTGATATATAAGAACAGAACAAAGCAGAACATTTTTTTCATGTAAGAGAAGGTTCTTCTGCATCTCCTCACATGCCCAGCACACAGAGCTGTAGGAATATGCCTGGGGCAGAAATTCAAGATGTGGTGGTTGAATAAATAAAGTATGTAAGATGCAAAACCTTAGCTGTTTCTTCACAGATGTGTTAATTGTCAGTGCTTTTGGGGAAAACAAGTCTCTATTTCAAAAGCAAACTTTTAATCTAGTAGTAAAAGCTGATTAGCTACTTTCAAGTGCAGAGCTAATATAATTCCATTTTAAAAGGCTGCAGCACCGTAAGTTCAAAGCACAGCAACAACCTAGTCCAACATTACCACTTGAATCAGCAGTACCTAAGACAACAGTTAACATCTAGCACATGTCCATAAGAACTTCCTAAGTCTCCCCATCACTTTCTCCCACTTCTTCCCTTACTCTTCTTTTCCCACTGTAGGTAACTAGCACTTTCTTATTTGTATATGATACTGACGAATCTCTAGATACACTTGCTTTCAAGATATGTTTATTTGTATGCTAGGAACCTCATTTATTGCATTAAAAGAGGAATCTCCGGACTTCCCTGGTGGTCCAGCAGTTAAGACTCCGCACTTCCAATGCAAGGGGCCTGGGTTCAATAACTGGTCAGGGAACTAGATTCCGCATGCCACAAGTAAGACCCAGCGCAGCCAAATAAATAAATATTACACACACGCACACACACGCAAACACACACACACACACACACACATGCACACACTAGCAAGGATGATGGGAACCTGGCACTGAACTGCTCCTGGCTAAGTAATTTGGTGATTAGTTTCTGTGTGGGCCCACCTGTAAAACGCTCAATACATCAGGTAACCCAGGGCCACCACCTGGCTCTGCAATCTGTCCAGGTGCCCCCATTCTTATTTCTTCTTCATTTTTCCATCACCCATTTGTTGTTCCCTTAACAACTCATGAAAAGAAACTGTTGTATATAATTTTTTTAAATAGAAGAGAGGAGAATTTTTCATACCTGCCTGTAAAAAAAGATCTAAACTAAACTGTATTTACTTCATATGTCCCTCCTGGAGAAAAGACAGTCTCTTCAATAAGTAGTGCTGGGAAAACTGGACAGCTACATGTAAAAGAATGAAATCAGAACATTCTCTAACAGCATACACAAAAATAAACTCAAAATGGATTAAAGACCTAAATGTAAGGCTGGATACTATAAAACTCTTAGAGGAAAACACAGGCAAAACACTCTTTGACATAAATCACAGCAATATCTTTTTGAATCCAAAAGGATCAACCTCCTAGAGTAATGAAAATAAAAACAAAAATAAACAAATGCGACCTAATTAAACTTAGCTTTTGCACAGCAAAGGAAACCATAAACAAAATGAAAAGACCTACAGAATGGCAGAAAATATTTGCAAACGATGCAATTGACAAGAGATTAATCTCCAAAATATACAAGCAGCCCATGCAGCTCAATATCAAAAAGACAAACAACCCAATCCAAAAATGGGTGGAAGACCTAAATAGACATTTCTCCAAAAAAGACATACACATGGCCCATAGGCACATGAAAAGATGTTCAACATAGCTAATCATCAGAGAAATGCAAATCAAAGCTACAATGAGGTATCAGCTCACACTGGTCAGAATGGCCATCATGAAAAAGTCTACAAACAATAAATACTGGAGAGGGTGTGGAGAAAAGGGAACCTTCCTACACTGCTGGTGGGAATGTAAATTGGTACGGCCACTATGGAGAACGGTATGGAGTTTCCTTAAAAAACTAAAAATAGGGGCTTCCCTGGTGAAACAGTTGTTGAGAGTCCGCCTGCTGATGCAGGGGAGACGGGTTCGTGCCCTGGTCCGGGAAGATCCCACATGCTGCGAAGCGGCTGGGCCCACGAGCCATGGCCGCTGAGCCTGCGCGTCCGGAGCCTGTGCTCCGCAACGGGAGAGGCCACAACAGTGAGAGGCCCGTGTACCGCAAAAAAAAAAAAAAAAAAACTTAAAAATAGAGCTACCATATGATCCAGCAATCCCACTCCTGGGCATATATCTGGAGAAAACAATAATTTGAAAAGATACATGCACCCCAATGTTCACTGCAGCACTATTTACAATAGCCAAGACACGGAAGCAACCTAAATGTCCATCAACAGGTGAATGGATAAAGAAGATATGGTATATATACACAATGGAATATTACTCAGCCACAAAAAAGAATGAAATAATGCCAATTGCAGTAACATGGATGGACCTAGAGCTTATCATACTAAGCGAAGTAAGTCAGAAAGAGAAAGACAAATACCATATAATATCACTTATATGTGGAATCTAAAAAAATGATACAAATCAACTTATTTACAAAATAGAAACAGACTCACAGACATAGAAAACGAACTTAGGGTTGCCAAAGGGAAAAGGTGGGAGTGTGGATAAATTAGGAGTTTGGGATTAAGATACACACAATACTATATATAAAATAATCAACCAGGACCTACTATATAGCACAGGGAACTCTACTCAATATTCTGTAATAACCTATAATGGAAAAGAATCTGAAAAAGAATGGATATATGTATTTGTATAACCAAATGACTTTGCTGTACACCTGAAACTAACACAACATTGTAAATCAACTATACTCCAATATAAAATAAAAATTAAAAAAAAAAAGATCTAAACTAAGCTGTGTTTACTTCATATGTCCCTCCTGGTAAAAAGTTCTTTACCTTTTTCTTCTGCCCACCCTCTGTTGAAGGCAATATGTGATACGAAAAGGAAGCAGCAGAGGTAAAGGACTGACTCTTTGCACCAATGCCACAAGGGTCATTCACACCCTAAAGTGTGAGTGAGAATGGTGCTCCCCTGGAATGAATAATGCACACTGTGCGAAGCTATACAAAGATGTTCCTAAGCCAAGTCAGGAACAGTCATTTTTGAATGATTTTCTCTCCTTTAGTAAAATTCTTACTCTGCAGGATGATCCAGAATATATTTGGCAACTGACATTAAACAATTCAGTGAAATAAAATTGGCATGACATGAAAATTAGACCAAGATATAAAGAATCTGAGTTACTTTGGGGGAAAACCTTTATCTTCAGATATTCATTTTTGAAATAAGTATCTCAGTAGAAGATAAATTTAGAAAATTATCAGAATCATTGAACATTAGTGAAAGGCATGTCAGCAATAATCAAAGCCAATGGACAAAATACTTTAATGAGATATAAATGTACTTGTTATTTTAGTTCCACATACCACACTATTTTAATATTTAAGAAAATCACTTGAAGTCTGGGGCAGGACACCTTAAAATTAATTTGAGGGGCTTCCCTGGTGGCGCAGTGGTTGAGGGTCCGCCTGCCGATGCAGGGGACACGGGTTCGTGCCCCGGTCTGGGAGGATCCCACATGCCGCGGAGCGGCTGGGCCCGTGAGCCATGGCCGCTGGGCCTGCACGTCCGGAGCCTGTGCTCCGCAACGGGAGAGGCCGCAGCAGTGAGAGGCCCGCGTAGAGGGGGGAAAAAAAAAAAAAAAATTGAATTAGAATAAGCAAGTTTGGGACAGAATCAGAGGACTTCTGTCTTGAGGGAGTGTAGAATAGCCTCAAATTCCAACTTTGCTACAGATTAGGTGTATGTTTTTGAGTGACAACCTCTCTAAGCCTCAGTCTGCACCTTTATAAAAGGGATATTATCTAATGCATAGAATTACTATGTGGATTAAATGAGGTAACATTTTTTATAGGACAAAACAGATGTTCAGTAACTGGTAGCTACTGTCATCTTCACCATCGAATCCAGTCCCCTTTTTTTAAACAAAGAAATCTAAACCCACAGAGATTGCCTTTGCCCAAGGGAGAGGGAGATAATCCAGGTCTCTCAATTTCCAGCCCACCCCTAGTCCACCACTTCACCCCACCTTACTCCTAAATTGATAAGACTCTGCATTTGTAAGTTATTTATTACAAGATTTAAGAAACATAAAATTATAATCACTTAAATTTTAAAGATGAATTCTGTATTTGCTGTTTTTAAGGTAAAAAACGCTATTTAAAAATCTCTTTCCATCTCTTGAAATTTACTGTACCTAGAAAAAGGAGAAAGATGTTGACAACGGTTGTTGCCTACAATCTGAGGGGTGTAAAGTACTACCTGGGTCCGCTGCCCTCCCCATAGTGTGGTAGCCACACTACATCTGGCCCTACTCAAAGACTGATACCTTTGAAGCCTCCAGAAAAAAACAAAACAAAACAACTGCATTCAGTTAAGTTCCAGACATTGTCTTGCTGGGGGAACACACGACTTAACAGTTAAAAAGGAAAGAGGCACCTCATGTGAAAACAGTTACAAAACCACTTTCCCCTAATTAGGAAGTTTGATGAGCTGGGATACCAAGAAACTGTCCAGGAAATGGGAGGGTTCCGGCGGTGGAAGTGTCCACGGATGGGGCGGGACACGCAGAGATCTCCAAGACCCGGCTCAGGGCGCCCACCGAGTGGCGAGGATTCGGGGGGCTTAAGAGAACGCCGCCAAGTCCACGCACCTGGGAGCGAGGCCCGCATGGCGGCCGGGCCCTCCAAGGCCAGAGTCGAGTGCGCTGTAGGGCGGCCGCCCTGTCCCCACCCGCCGGCCCTCCGCCCAGCCACCCCGGCCCCGCCACTGCTCACCTGCCGCGAGGTCACCTCCGCTCCGCGCCCGCCGCGCTCCGCCTCTCCTCCTGCGCCTCGTCTCTCCCTGCAGGAGAGAGCGGCCCAGCGCGCTCGGCAAGCTCGGCGCCGCAGCGGCCCCTACAGCCCGGAGGCTGCGGCGCAGGGGCGCGGGAGCGGAGGGGTACCAGTCTAGCGCCTCTCCTCCACCTCCCAAGCCCTACAGCCCGCCCGCGGGATGGAGTTTGCAAAGGGCGTTTTTGGTTTCTTCCTTTTTTACCTTAAGTTTTCAGCCTACTGGGTTCAAATAACTTTCCAGTTTCGCGTGTGTGTTTTGTATAAATAAAAGGAGACATCACCTAGAATTACATAAATTTATTAACGGAAGGGGAAAGCTTTCTGATTTGGGAAGGAAGGCTCGGATCTGGTCTCCTCCTAGCCCCATTTCAGGGACACAGTCATTTAAATGTACGGTTAATCCTCTGACATTCTGTTAGTTCCCTGAGATTCTAAGATGCAAGATACATGTGGCTATGGTTGTGATAAGAATAGATATGGATGCCGGTTTGCACGTACTTTGCTGATTTGAACTTTGTTGGGATAAAAGCTGTGTTAAAACAAACAAAATAGAATATCAGGTGCCCAGATTTTGGCATGGATTTATTTACAGTTTTGGCAAATGGATTTTGAATTTAAAACTTGTTCTCTCAAGCCAAATTGACTTTAATTTGAGGTTTAATTTTTAAAAGGTCACTGACATCTGGTATTAGTAGGCAATCTTCTGACAAATAAGTTAAATTTTAATGAAAAAGCTGTTTGTAACATGAAAAGGTGCTCAACATCACTAATCATTAGGGAAATGCAAAACCACAGTGAGATATCGCCTCACGCCTGTTAGAAGGGCTATCATCAAAAAGACAACAGGGGGCTTCCCTGGTGGCGCAGTGGTTGAGAGTCCGCCTGCCGATGCAGGGGACGCGGGTTCGTGCCCCGGTCCGGGAGGATCCCACGTGCCGCGGAGCGACTGGGTCCGTGAGCCATGGCTGCTGGGCCTGCGCGTCCAGAGCCTGTGCTCCGCGGTGGGAGAGGCCGCGGCACGCGGCGGGAGAGGCCGCGGCAGTGAGAGGCCCACGTACCACAAAAAAAAAAAAAAAAAAAAAGACAAGAGGGACTTCCCCGGTGGCACAGCGGTTAAGAATCCACCTGCCAATTCAGGGGACACAGGTTTGAGCCCTGGTCCTGGAATATCCCACATGCCACGAAGCAACTAAGCCCATGCGCCACAACTACTGAGCTTGCGCTCTAGAGCCCGCCAGCCACAGCTACTGAAGCCCGCATGCCTAGAGCACGTGCTCCGCAACAAGAGAAGCCACCGCAATGAGAAGCCCACGCACCGCATTAAAGATAGCCCCTGCTCACCGCAACTAGAGACAGCCCGCGCTCAGCAACGAAGACCAACACAGCCAAAGATAAAAAATAATTAATTTAAAAAAGTAATAAGGTAGCACCATCAATATTTAATAATATTTAACAGGACATCTGGTATTTGCTAGAATTAGGAGCTTTTCTATTTGATGGGATTGGCTGCATAAAACAAAGTTTCATCTGTGTGAAAATGCATTCAGATTTATGAAAGACAACTATTATAATCAGAAGTTCCCAAAGTCTGCTCTAGGGACAATACTGGTGGTCTGTGAGCCTTCTCAGGGAAGGGTACTTTTTTTTCAGGCAAGAATTAATAGAATTAATCTTTGCACGGGGTCTAGGCATGCGGGCTTCAGTAGTCGTGGCACATGAGCTTAGTTGCTCCGCAGCATGTGGGATCTTCCCAGACCAGGGCTCGACCTGTGTCCCCTGCATTGGCAGGCAGATTCTTCACCACATTGTTGCGGTGATTTTTATAAAATGAATGCTGGATTCTTTTCCCTAGCATCACGCCAAGTCAAAGTAGGTGACATAATTAATGTGGGTTCAGCATACAACTGTTATTTCAGCTGCAAATAACTGAAAGTAACTTGAGTGCAAAAGGATCTGTATTACCCCATGTAATTAAGTACAGGGAGGGGACTGGTTTGGGGAACAGTGAGATATGGGACATCCATAGATGCCAACAGGGCTCCCTTGTCTCATTTCTCTATGCGCTTCTCAGGTACACTTACTGCATGTCTTGGGTACATCCCTGCTGGCAGTTCCAGCATCCTACCACATTAAGGTACATCCAAGTGGAAAGGGAGCTTTTCTAATCATCCATATATCAAATCTCATAAAAGAATTGTGATTGGCTTTCATGACCTTTGGGTCATGTACCCTTTTTCAGGACAAATTGTTGTGGACAGGAGGAAGGGATAGTAGGGCTGGCCCAGCCTGGGTCAAGGTCATGTTATCCCAGTTGTGGTGGAGACATTCTCTGGGGGTTGGGAGGGGGTAGAGGTGCTAGGAAGACAAAACAAGCAGACGTCCACCCCACAGGTAGACCTGCTTCCTGAGAAGTTACACAGAACTCCTGAAAAGCAGCAGCTGGCAGGGACCATAGAATAGAGCTTTTCCACTGAGGGGTGCTGCTTTCCCATGCTCTCATGGTGGTGAAGGGATGCCTTCTACTCACTGTGGGTGACTAAATGAGGTGGCCAGAGTGGAGGAAATGGGTGGGCCTGGTGCTGAATGCACAGGAGAGACTCCTGAGGGACTTGAACAAATAGTGTCGTTACCTGCTGTCATATAATTTATTTATTTATTGCCTTTCTTCTCCTTTAGCGTGTAAGTTCCATGAAGGTATGACTATGCCATGAAAGCTCCATGGAGCTTCATGTAAGCTGCATGAAGGCTCTACGTTTTGCCCGTAGCTATATTTCCAGACACATGAAGAGCTCCAGAAATATTCATAGAAGGGATGTTAAGTGGACAAGTGAGATGCTAAGGAGGAGGTACCATGATGAAGAGCAGGCAACCAATGCATAGGGGCCTCTGGACCATGAGAGACGCTTTCCCACAATGGAGTGAAAGTGAGATATTGTGAAAGGGGTCCTAGTGCAGGAGGTTAGAGCTGCCACGATGGGCCTGCAGGCCCCGCTTGTGAGAGGAAAATCTAAATGGAGTTGGTATTGCTAAGAGAGCTCTCTCACGTCGAGCCTGGAGGCCATCGAGAAAGTGTGACTTACGCATGTCTCAGCCTGGATGGAACCTGACCTTTGATCACTTACCGTCTAAAGCAGGCATTCAGAACATCTGCCCAGTGCTCCAGAAACTCAAGATATGTGTTGGACGCTTACCCTAAAATAACCAGTGACAGCCTATCCCTTATGGACAAATATTTCCTTTCCTGTATCAGAGTCAGTCATAATTCTTGAACAATCCTGTAGCTTTTGCTTTTATAAGCCCCTGACTCTTTCTCTTCCCCGGAACAGGCTTTTAGTTTTACCTGATTCTGTGTCACCCAAATTGCAATTTTTTAAGACCCCCCCCAAAAAAAGTTCTTTGTTCTTTGCAGCCTCGATACTGATTATTGTTGGACATCAATTCTGTAACTGCCTCTGACGGCACCCAGGGCTGCAGAAACAACTTCTCTCAACTGAGGCACAGATCTTTTATTCCTTTATCAACTTGTTCCCCTCATTGGATAAAAACACACAAAAAAACCCCAAGCCCACCCTTTTTCTTACTCTTCCACCTTTGCCCAAACCCAATTTCCAGAGAGGAGGGGAGCCCTCTGAGGTAGAGGGGGCCCAAGCAAGGCTTTGTGGCCAGCCCGTTGTCAATAGCCACGCCCTGGGGTGTGGAGGGCATAGGCCCTGAGGTTTGCCTGTAGGCAAATAAGTCAGTGAAATGTCAGTATCAATGTTCAAGTGACCTTATTTTTATCCAGATGCTAGAGAAAGTTAGGGATATTTGGGTTGTACAACTGAATAGAAACCGCTGTTCACTGTACATACCTTTGAAATAAAACAATTTTAATGTAGATGTAAAATGCAGTGTATTACCAAATTTACAAACGTTTAGAGAGAAGTCCCAGAGACTAACAGATGAACTCACAAGATGGCTTAGTGTTTCTGAAGTCTTGCCAGTTGGTCTGACATTCACATACCCTCAGCATTATCCTACATCGAGGGTTGGCAAACTTGAGCATGCGTCAGACTCACCTTTGCTAAAACACCAATTACAGGACCCCAACTCCAGCGTATTTCAGAAAGTAGGTCTGGGGTGGGGCCTGAGAAATTCCATTGCTGCCACTGCTGCTCCTTGGACCTCACCTTGAGAACCACTGACATTCATGATGGGTCACTTTCCTTCTTCATTTGCCAGATAAGACATAACTGCTGTTTTTTTTTTTTTTGCGGTACGCAGGCCTCTCACTGTTGTGGCCTCTCCCACTGCGGAGCACAGGCTCCGGACGTGCAGGCTCAGTGGCCATGGCTCACGGGCCCAGCCGCTCCGCGGCATGTGAGATCTTCCCGGACCCGTATCCCCTGCATCGGCAGGCGGACCCTCAACCACTGCGCCACCAGGGAAGCCCCATAACTGCTTTTCATTATATAGTTTCTACCCTGGGGAGAGAGATGTGTCACATTTTAACTCATCTTAAGAAATTCCTCTGAAGATTTAAATGTCTGACCCAATGAAGCCTCCAGCAAATCAGACAAAACAATCATTTCAGACGGTGGAGACTTAAATACAGTTAGTGTTGATCATAGGTTGCATGGTTTGGGATCAGTGCAAATCTAATCAAGTGAGTAGGACAATTTTATTTGGAGGCAATGACATTTATCCTGAGAAGGTGCTTCCTAAGTTTCAAAAAATGCAAAGATTTGGACCTACTGCCTAGTACAGGGAACTATGCTCAATATTCTGTAATAACCTATAAGGGAAATGAATCTGGAAAAAAATATGTATGTATGCATAGCTGAATCACTTTGCTGTACACCTGAAACTAATACAACGTTGTAAATCAACTATAATCCAATATAAATAAATAAATAAATAGAGATTTTTAGGAAGATTAGAAACTCTATTCT